TTTTTTCTCTTTATACTTAAGGTAAGGATGGTTTCTATTGTTTTGTGCTCAAATTCAATATTTTTCCCTGCAATGTCAAATCCATCCTTAAAAAATGAACAATAATTTTTTTGTCAATATTACCCACCACTCTAATAATTAAGATTTTTTATTTCTTATAATTTTTTCTCTCTTTTAAATCCCTTTGGTTACATTGACATCCTTGCAAATGAACATAGGTGTTTTAAAATCCTTTAGTCTAAATTCAGAATCTAATATGATGGTTTTATTTCTGGTAATTGGTTTTTCACATAGTTCTGGCTAACATTTTCCAACTTTTTCAACATACAAATACATACTTATTTGGATGCTAGATATCACAAACATTTTATTGTTAAGACTCAGAATTGTTTTGTTCTTGTCATTTAGCAAAGAAATTATTTACTTGCAATCAGAGAAACCCTTTGAGATGTAGTGTTGAGATTTAAAACAGTAGGTCTTAGTTAACTGTTTCTTCTGAGGTCATTTCTTCTCCCTTCTGTTGTTCTCATTGAATGCACTTAGTACACTATGAGTCTCTAGAATTTAGTATTTCCCATCATAAAGGTTCTTGGTAATTTTTCTTTCCTTACAGTTAAAGTTACTTTGGACTTGTGGAGCCTCATATTAATAAGTGAAGTTTAGGGGTAATATGAAGTCTTAAAATTTCTGTGTTGATTTCTAATCACTTTCCTTGCCTAGTCTCTCCACTGATGCAGTTGGCAACATATATTCTGGGCACTTCAGCACACATATACCTGATTTTCGTGTTAACATGACTTTTGTGTTCTTCTGTGCCACCACCATCCCATACCAGGATTAAATAACTGTGTTTCTTCTCTAACATGGCATAGCACTGTGCTGACAATCATCAAATGTCTCAAAATGTATATTACATATATTTTCTCTAATATTTTAGTTTTTGTTGGCAGCAAAGTTGTGAAATCTGTGATTCCAGTCACAACATTGATCCTAGCCTTCAGATATGCAAATTGATTTCCACTATCAGTCTAATTTTTAGTCTTTTCCCCACTTACCCCATGGTTGTTATCCATTTTTCCCTGTTTGTTTTTAGTATCAATTTTAATACATATTTCTTGTTTATTCAGTTCACATTTCTAGTGTTTTGAGGGGTGTGTTAATTCTCATTGTTTCTACAAATGAATGTTCAATTTTTTATAACCCCTTTATTTCTAATGTGCAACATGGTATCTACTATATGCTATCCACTTGTAACTATTAGTTTGATGGACAGAATCATTCCAAACTCAGAAAGTTAAGCTAAAACAAGCAGACTGGAATCTCAGTTGGGTGACTGGTAACCCATAAACCATAAATTTGCTCATGTAATCATGCATATGTATGCTTAAGTCTTTGTATTGCTTAAAAATCCTTGTTAATAGTAGTTTCTGATTCCCTTTCTCACCTCCATAAAGCAGCTTGTAGTTAACCTTGTTACAGTCAATCATTGTCACTCATGTGATGCTTACATCTGATGCAATTATTTTCAATAACTGTTTGTGTAATATTTACCAAATTCAAGAATTCTCACTTTTGCTCCATTTTTGTTTAAAATCTGTAATTGTTTTAGTTAATTATACACTATAGAGATACATATGATTCATGGGGAATTCCAAAGTCCCTTGAGAAATAGAATGGTTCCTGAAGTCTCCTTTGCTACTTCATATGATGCTCAATCTGTGATAGGGCCCATTAGAGGTTAATAATACATATAGAGAGGGCTAGCGACAGAGACACAGAAAAAGAGAAAGAGAGAGGGAGGGAGACATTGTAATTCCTTCTCTTAAAGAAAGAGAATGTCTTAAGTTATCTTGAGGTATCTTACTTGTTGTTTCTTGTGGTTTTTTTTTTAATTAATGGCTGAAATTTATTCTTAATTATATAATCTGGAAATATCTTCCATTAGATATTTTAACAATATTTAATAACATTGCAGGACATATCATTATTAAATGGCATTAAATTTTAGCAAAGAATAAGAAACCAAAATGTGAAAATTTAAAATATTTAATTTAGGTAAGTTTACTTTGTAAAAGTATTTTTTTTCTATTTGAATTACCTTGTAGTTGATAGGCTAGTCAGAAGCTTGCTTATATTTTATCTGATAGAATCATAGGATTATTAAGAATATTTGAAGTAATTCAATTTGATTGTGCATCACATCTTTCAATTCTACTTCCTAGGTAACCTTCAAAGGATAAAGTGTGCCTGGAATAAGGAATACCAATAAATTTTGAAATTTCAATTGGAAACTTCATGTCCTTAAATCTTCTTTGGAATGAAAAATATTTACATAAACTTTCTTTGAGAAAATTTAATTTAATTATTACTCTAAAGGATGAAACAGAAGATTAGAACAGCTGTCTAATTTTCAAGGTTTTCTACAGTGGCCACTGGTCACATATGCCTACTGATAACTTGGACAGGGGTTATCAATAATGGGAAATTAATTTTTGTTTAGCTTTAGTTCAGTTTCTATTTAATGTTCACAGGTATTTACTGGTTATTGTACTGGACAGTTTTAGATGTGGTTGACAGATATAATCAATTTGAATGTCAAAGTTTAACATTCGTTGAAGGGACTTGTATTTTGGTAAATAAACTAGAAACACAGAAGAGATCATAAAAACACAGGATGAGAATTTAAGGTAAAAAATTTAAACCAACAATTGGCATTTCCATTTAATTAAAAATTCAAATAAAATTAATTATATATCTAAAATTGGGAAAATTAATTGGTTAACTAAAAGGCTTCATATGTGATTTATACATATCCATTTGACAAGCTACTGCCCCAAACCATCTAGCTTTTATCTACCATATACCATATCTATCTGTAATCTAAGCACTTACTACATGCCTAAAGAAACTCTTTGCTTATTTCCCATTTGCTTTTAAAAAATCCTGTGATGTAGATATGATTATACCAAAAGTGAGAGAAGCTTAATGAATTCCCAGAGTAACAAAGTAACATATTTTAATTCCAGAATGAGTTAATGCCAACCAATTATCCTTCATGGCAATTAAAGTGCATTTGGTAAAATTCATTAATAAAACCTACAGAAGTAATACAATTTTAGTATTCTTTTTATGTTTTTATTTCTAAAATCATATCTTAATTATAAAATATTCTAGATTGTGAAAAACAGAGGTAAAGAGGCAGAAAAAAGAAGAAAGCTCTATTCTATTGTAGGCTTCTTGATTCTCATACAATATAAGACATTTGAATTAAAAGTGTTGAAAACTGAACTTGAATACATACTGAATTGAGAAAAGCTTCATGGTCATAAATATTTCTCATAAGAGCAATGACATGAAAAAGATTCAGACAAATAGCTGGTTACAGATATATACATTTAAATGTTTTATTTTTACATATGTGAGTACAGATTGTGTGTTTATAAAAGTAGTAAAATATGGAATATATTATACACATTTATATAATGAAAACTAAATGCCAATAATAACATATGAATTATGAGTTCCAAATAATATATGACATAAAAAGTCTTCCAAAACTGCGGTCATTGAAACAACACAGGGAATTTTGTGTTCAGGATTAGGTGGTTCTACTGAATGTCTCTGCAGGATGCTCACAGGAGAACATAGAAAGGGCATAAGATTTATGGTCTTTAAGAATTTTCGTCATCATCTTTGGAGCCAATATCTTGCCCTGTGATCTCTATTGATTCTCTTGTTAAATCATAGTACATTTGTGTATTAACCATGTAGACATTAGTACAGATGATTTGACATCTTATTGTAATTAACTCTTTTTATATTCAAAACAAAGATTAAAAAGAGAATTTCAATTCAATTGGTAACCACCATTTATTCATCATCAGTGTCCTTCATGGGTATCATCTTCCTATAGTGACAGATATGTGAGGGAGAGATTGAAATTTTTGAGAGCCTAAATGCTTTTCATATATATTCTTGTGTAATTAAATCATCGCTATCACTAAAACAAAACAGAGATCGTAGAGTCAGGTTCTCCATATTGTAAATGAGATTTATATTAAAAAAATAAAATGTATTCATCTAAGGACACAAGTCTATGCTTCATTTTAAAAAACACCAGGTTCTTCCAGATATGTTCTAATCCCTTACCTCTTACATCTCAGATTTCAAGAAAAGGAATGGCTGAAGAGAATTTCACAGTTGTTACTGAGTTTATTCTTTGGGGATTGACAGACCGTGCTGAACTGAAAGTTGTGCTCTTTGTGTTGTTCCTGGTGATTTATGCAGTTACGTTGGTGGGGAATCTGGGCATGGTCATCTTAATCCAAATCACCCCAAAGCTCCAGACTCCTATGTACTTTTTCCTCAGCTGCCTTTCCTTTGTGGATGCCTGCTATTCTTCAGCCATTGCACCAAAACTGCTGATCAACTTCTTGGTCGTGAAGGAAACCATCTCCTTCTCAGCCTGCATGACACAGCATTTATTTTTTGGGGTGCTCATTACCACAGAAGGCTTCCTGCTGTCCGTGATGGCTTATGACCGTTACGTAGCCATTGTCAATCCTTTGCTTTACACTGCAGCCATGTCTAAGAGAAAGTGTGTGGTGCTGGTCATCGGGTCGTGTACAGGAGGAATAATCAATTCATTGACACACACACTAAGCTTGGCGAGATTGTCCTTTTGTGGTCCCAATGTGGTGAATCACTTCTTCTGTGATGTTCCGCCATTGTTAAAGCTGTCATGTTCTGACACCTCCATGAATGAGTTTTTGCTCCTGACCTTCTCTGGAGTCATTGCCATGGGTACTTTCTTCATTGTGATCATCTCCTACATACTCATTACCATTTCGATTCTGAGAATCCGCTCAACATCAGGTAGACAGAAAGCCTTCTCCACCTGTGCCTCTCACCTCACTGCTGTGACCATATTTTATGGGACCTTAAGTTTCAGTTACATCCAGCCAAGCTCACAGTATTCTGTAGAACAGGAGAAGGTGGTATCTGTGTTCTACACACTAGTCATTCCCATGTTAAACCCATTGATTTACAGTCTCAGGAACAAGGAGGTCAAATATGCGGTGAAAAGGGCCACAGAAAGGAGACACTGCTCATGTTAATTTCAAAGCAATATCAACTCCACAACAGTCTACCAGCCAGTTTCCCTGACTAAGGTTCACATGAATACTATGAGCAGTTGAGCTTCTGATTCCATAAATCATTGTGCTGTAAATGTCCTTTGCTCACGGTAGGAGAAAAAGGATGCACAGTAGAATTGACTTAGTGCATGATTTTGTTTTAGAAAAATTAACTTGAAATTCAGCTCTTACGAGATATTAAGCCTCTGATAGTTAACAAGTCAATAACATATAGTCTTTTAACATTTAGAAAATTGTATAAATTCATTAATGTATGTGTGCTTTTAGAGATCTAATTCCATGATATTTTAATGTTTATTTTCTAAATTGTTTATCTGACACTTTGTGTTTAAAACTTTTATTGAATTCTAAAAACTGGCAGATTTCCATGTGAAATAAGTAGGAGGATATGAAATTGGGAGTTTCTACTTTGTAGCTATTTAAGCAAGTTTTTCAATTTTGGACACTCATGATCTAGCAAGCAAAAGTGAGCTGTATATGATATTATCACAATTCTCATTTCCATGTTTTCCTCCTACAATATGTACTTTAAAATATAGATTCATGTATGGAGTGACATAATTTTGAAGTAGGTAAAATTCTCTTCTCACCCTCCTCAAACATCTCTGTAAGAATCTCCTTCAATTTTTTCTAGATTATTTTTTTTAGAAATTCAAATCATTTAATAGATTTAGTATCTCTCATTAATATATGATTACAAATTCCAGTTCTGTAATAATGGATTACTGGTTGCAAAACTTCACAGATTCTCGTTGAATTAGGACCATATATTTGTTATTAAAAATGCTAAAAATAATATTGCATGGACTTTTTCATATTAAAATAAATTATGTTTTCCATAGTTGTCTATATTTTGGAGATTCTATTAGCCACTGATATCATAGGAGGAAATTTCAGGTATTTAAAACTATTGAAAATTATTTATCAAAGAATTAAACAAGTGTACATTTTGTTTCTCATATTTGACAGTGCAGACAAAAGCATTGCCAATCGTATGCAGGAAGGATGAAAAGACTTCAATAGCAAAGGCAATTTTTATCTTTCCCACCAAGAACAATACAAAAAACTATTGTAAATTTTATATTGTGTATAGAAGTAGGCTGATATAAAGTAATTTTGATTTTTATTTGTTTGGGATATAAGTCTAGTTCTAAAAATTCTTTCACACAGAATATCCATCTTCACTGAAAATAGTAACAAGGATGAGGAGGTAAGAATACAGGAGTATCACAAGAAATGGAAACAGATTAAACCCTGCTGAAATAAAAATAATTAATTCAATTTTATGTGCATTTGAGCACAGCAACGATAACAAGGAGAGACTGTCACAGAAATGACTTATAATCTTGTTGCCACAAAAGAGTAAATTAATTTTGTATGGTGATTAGGAGAGAAAAAAAATATTTGCTGTAGAGATAAGGAATTGCTGCCAGCGTGTGACATATTCTTTGTGACATGATGACAGTGTAGAGCAGTGGGTTGCAGTGGTCCACATAGCAATCACAGGCCATGCAGACAGAATAAAAAGTTCACAAATGATGAACGCAAGAAAGCAAGCTAGCTGTGTGGCACATAGAAAATAAGATGTTATATTCTTATCTACAACAAAATTTACTAACATTTTGGGGCCCACAACTGTAGAATAACCAAGGTCAGTGAGAGCCAGGTATCTGAGAAAAAGGTACAGGGGTGTTTGCAGGTTATGGTCCACCTTGGTGAGGGTGATCATGCCCAAGTTGCCCAGCACTGTGACCACAAAGATGATGAGGAACAGTCCAAACAGTGGAGCCTGCAGCTCAGGGCACTATGTAATGCCCATCAGAATAAATGCACCACTGAGATATTGCGTTTCTCCATCGAGGATTGTTACAAAACCTATTTGGATACAGACATCAGCGAAGTCAAGACTTGGGGAATTTTTTAGTGTGTAAGCTTGTGTAAATGAGAAATATCCAAACTCCTAAATTTATGATATTTAAAATTAAGCACATTTTTACAAATAAAAAAATGTCTCAGTAGTACTATACACATGGACAGATTGGTGGTTCTATTTGGTCTGACTTTACTGTCAATGTCTATGGATATATTCTAGATATGTTCCTTGTCATAACTCTATGTTGGGTACAACTGGTACCCAATGGTTAGAGGGCAGTTAAATAGGTAAACATTTTACAATATCAAACATTCAGCCCAAATATTGTTAGGACTAATGTTGAGATACCTCAGTAAGATAGATCAGTAGATGGATATATAATTATATGTAAATAGAGATATATAAATATATTTTAAAAGTTGACACAAAATTAAATTTTGAGTTTATTATATTGAATATCATCATACTATTTTTTTCAGTGTAATGATTCCTTTTACTCAGTGCTTAATACATCAAATACACATATAAAGTAATTATTGGAAAAAATCAGTCTCTGTGGGAATTTAGTTATTGACTATAAACTTGATTGTTTCTTTAAATAATTTAAAGGATAATTAGTAATTCCTTTGGGATTGATTTTTTTAAGCATTTTTCTAGAAGTTGATGAACCTTTATTTTTTTCATTTATTTATATGCAGTGGTGAGAATCGAACCCAGTGCCTCACACATGCTAGGCAAGCGCTCTCCCACTGAGCCAGAACCCCAGCATCTGATAATGGTTTTTAAAATTATTGCATTATGGATATACATAAACTTAAGCTATTCATTGTTTTACATTTGTCTACTACATAATGTCTTCCTCAGTGGCATTTCTGCATTATCTATGATTATAAAGCACATTTAATTTGTGATACAAAATAGTATCATCCATGTATTGCAAAAATGCACAGAAACCTCTCCTACAATACAGGCCTATGAAAGCCTTTAGGCCTGTAAATTTTACAGCTTCAATTTACTTATATTAGATAGGTGTCTAATATAGGTGTCTTCAACATACAGATATTATATAGGTGTCTGAATAAGAACATCGATCACAGTATGGATTACTTTACATGCTAAAACAAATCAGAATAGATATAATTATGTATCAATGTATATATCAATTATGTATCAACGCTATATTTTATTTAGAGTATATACAAACTAATATTGGGATAAGTAATATAAGTTACCTAAAACTTTAGATATAATTATGTATCAATGTATATATCAATTATGTATCAACGCTATATTTTATTTAGAGTATATACAAACTAATATTGGGATAAGTAATATAAGTTACCTAAAACTTACATTTATACACAGACTATTATATGCTGCACACATATATATGTATAAATAAATAAATATATACATACATGTGTGTATATACACATGTGTACATACATGTGTATATACATATATATGTTATATGTATGTATATATGTATACATACACACATAGACACACATATATACATATAAGATTTTTGAGAGGAAGGAATGGAAATTAAATGACTATGTATAAATAATCCCAAAGAGAAAAAAGAAGGTACTGAAATAAATAGAAATTATACTTATTACAATGAAAATTGCAGTAGCAGAAATCTCATGGTGAACCATAAGCAAACATAATACACAAATTTATCACATTAAATATAGAACTCATTATATGTACCTTGAACAAAATCAATTAAAATATTGCCTATAAAATTAAGACCTCTTGCTATCCTGCCCATACTGAATGCATATACATTTCCTATGTTAGAAATCTGAGGAGCTGAGGACATGGCCCAGTGGTAGAGTCCTTGCCTAGCATTTGTGAGGCCCTGCATTTAATCCCCAACATCATCACCAGACACACACACACACACACACACACACATACACACACTCACACACACCAAAAAGAGAAAGAAATCTGAGTATGTGTGTCAGATTATATTATTAGAAAAATATCTGCAGTATATACAAGAAAATAATATACAAAACTTGTTTTTCTTTCATTGGTTTGGTTTGGTTTCACAAGCATAAAAGTTAAAAACAATAGTAAATTGCACATGGTAAGAACTATAGTTTTTCGATAAAATAACGAAAGATTAAAGTGTTTTTTCTTACTTGTTCTAGAGTATTGTGGAATGAAAAAAACCTGCTTTTTATATATTATTATTTTTCTTTATTACTGATCACTGCTGCTTTTAAAATTATACTCTAAAATATTCCACTTGATTTTTGTCACATTTCTCTGCAAATTTCAGAACCTTGAGTATTGTCCTATCAATATATAATCAGATACTTAAAGGATTCCTCTTAATAGTGTGTTTCACAACTGGATGAGGGGCAGAAGTTCCCTCTATATTATTCAAGATGTGAAGAAAAACTCTGACAGAATCAGACTTCTACATCTATTTACATAAACATTAAATACTAATATATTTTTAAATTCTCACAAAGAAAATCCTAGAGATAACAATAACTATCGGGAAGGATATCCAAATGAGAGACTTAATCTCTTCAGGTTTATAAGCCTGATTTTAAAAGAACAAAGTAAAATAAAACACCTTAGCTATGTTTCATTTGGTCTCAGTTTTGACCTCTGTGAGAGAGAAAGTATTCAAATAAAACTTAGAATTTCTAAGTAGTACCATGATGATTTTTCAAGGATGCCTATGAAAATTTAGCTCACACCTCATGATAACATGAAAATATTAATTTAAGAATAAGGAAAGGACTTATTTCTGCTAAGACATTATTGAATGGTAAAATCACAGAATATATAGTAAGAATTAATCATATTTTACTCTGGTTTTGACATCAATTAAATATTTGCACATGTTACTGAAAACTTGTGAATATCTTGAAAACATAACATCACATGAAACTTTTTTTTTAACCTGTAATGAAATATCCATCTTGGCTCCGTATATATGTATACATATACACAGAGTCATATGTTTCTTACATAGCTTAGTGAGAAAGTTTTATAGATTTTTTTTTAACCTTGTGAGACTTGAGACACCCTGAAGAAATGACAAGCAATTTGCTGATTA